GGCGGGGATCGAACTCATGCGGAAGTGGCTTTAACTTTTCAGTGCTGTGCTTTAACCCACTGCGCCACCAGGGAGGGCCGAGACTTTTTTAAAGTCTAATGGACATAAATCCTTTGCCCCAGTTGGTTTTACCAAGACCTACAGTGTACTCATGCATGTAATTTAGTCTTTTCATAGATCTTTTCCAAGAAGACTATTTTTTCGCATATAGTGAAAGAAGGAAGAAAATGGGCGAAGAAGACTAAAACATTTAATAAGTTGCAACAGTAGATGGCTAGATACATGATGAGGAAGTATAACATTTTAGAATGTTAGCAAAATTCAAGGGCTGTTGCATGTTTGATTGCTTGGAGTACAGGGAAATTGGACTTTGCTTGTTCACAGGAGGTAAGTACTTTCATTTTGTTATGGCTGCAGAGGTTACAGGTCTCTCCAGGCTTAAGGTGAGTTTATTAACTTCTGGTCGACCATAAAAGATCAGCAGTATGGCATTAGAGGAACAAAACAATAAGATCAGAGATGAGAATTCATCCGATGTTGCAGTTATCACTGATGACATTTTGTATATGCAACATTATTTCTTAACTGTCCCACTCTATGTATTCTATAAGATCATACTACAATCTTGAGAAGAAAAACCACCTATTTTGTGCATTTCAAGATTATAAAATACGTAGACTTACTTTGAGAATCCTTCTCTAAGCTTCTGTCCTAACATAGCATCCCTGTCATTCTCTGGCCTCTTTCCTGCAGCGCTTAACCATCATACAGCCTCCAGATACATTAAGCATCCAGGTGGTTATTGTTTCGTTGTCTACACCTTCAACCCGAGCCCAGAAACTTCATGGCCACTGTAGCCTAATTTCCATTTAGAGTCTGGATACTGTGGGTGCTGAGGCTCTCAAGAAATTATCTACAGGTTCACCCTTAACTTAGAACTTGATTACTACAATATTCCTTTATTTATTTATTTTTTTATATTCTTGCTTATCTCAGATTTTTAATCTACTGGCCATTTTTCTTCACTTTTCTTGTTGCCTTTCCTTCACGCTTCAACTTTTACTCTCCAGATTATACGAAGTCCCACTAATGAAGACAGTCTGTGATCACCCCTCATGGCTATTCCGGTAGCTGCTCAATTTATTGCTCATTGCATTAGACTTGAGTGAAACAATTTTCACTTTGGTCATCTTTCAACTTTTTGCATGTCTTGTTGCTTTTCTTAGTGTTATCGATCACAGAAATATGTAAAAGTGGAAAGTACAGAAACATAAAAATAAAAATTCTCTGTTAAAAATCACCAGCCACAATCCTCACCATCAATTTGAAGTGTGACCTTTATTATTTCATTTTTATTTTTCCTGTACAGAATATACCTTCACAAATTAGTAACTGCCAATTTCTAATCATATAATTTCTCCCCTCCCCCCATCACTATGGTTTATAGCAGTGTGAGTACTAGTTTTAAGAAAGGACTTAGATCAAGAGGTAAGTTCTTTAAAAAAGGGGGAAAAAAAGATTTACTTATTTATGCATGCAAGAACTGGGGTACAGGACAGAAGTGCAGGGGAGGTGAGAGGACTCACCGGAGACAGAGTGATGAAGTGCACTGCTGAAGGGAACAGCGGGGAGGCAGGAGAGGTCTGCTGTGCCATGTGGGTGAGCTCCCTGGGCGGGGATCAAAATTGCACTCATCGGTTGTGGCTCGCTTAGTAGTGCTGCACTTTAACCCACTGTGCCACCAGGGAGGGCCCAAGAGGCAAGAGCTGTACAAAAGCAGCCCTTAGAGATGCACACATTTCCTACCTTCTGTTTGAATATCAGTTGCTTTCTTGCTCAGCCATTGCATTCTGAGCAGAACTCTTTTGCTACACTTTATACCTCATGTTGAAATATTCTTTCCCATGCTAGGTAATAAGACCTTGTATCAGATACCAAAAATTATTTATTTTCACTGTACACTTGGGGGTATATACTGAAACTAAATTGTCTTTATGTCTTTCATTGCAAACACAGGGCCTATCATTACTTGAAATAATCCAAGATTCTGAAATAATTTCAACACAGATATTGTCTAGGGAGTGAAAAATACAATTTACTATCTAGAGCAAAAGTGCAAAAAATACTTTGCAACTTCAGTTTGCAAGTGTACAAATAACCTAATCCACTTTCTCTTTTAGAGTGACATTAAGGTGTGAGTTTTAATATATGTCAAAACTCCAAGATTGCAATGACAACTTAGGGTAGGCACTCAGTTATGTGTTTGTTAATAAGACTTTACTATTATCAATGTTGCCCTGAAGTTTAGAGTTCTCTAACAGAATCTGCTCTCACCTCACCTGATCTCATTTAATCTCTTGACCTCATTATTTGCTCTGCCCTAGCCACACTGCCCTTTATATCTTTCAATATTTGATTTCCAGCATCAGGGCTTTTTACATGTGATCTCTCTCATGGAGGATTTGTCCTCACCTGTCTGTGTTTAGACCTTCCTGAAGTCTTCAAATGAAAGTTCACTCCTTAAGTAAGACCTAATCCTGTCTTCTGCTCTTGGCACACACCTGCTTCTTTTTTATCCAGGAAGGGGCCAAGACCTTCTATGTAGATCATCTCTACTTATGTCTGAGCTACCTTTC